TTCCTTCGCGACGTCGCCGCGCGGCCGTCCGGGACGCCTGTCGTGTTTGGCGGCGGTGTGGCGCGACCGCCGTCGCCCGTCGAGACAGAGCAGCAGCACGCGCGCCGCTACGACGTTATGTTTGTGGACCTCTTCGTGGGCAGTGAGGCGCCCTCGTTTGTGTCGTCACCCGCTTTCCTGCAGCTGTGCCGCGGCGCCCTTTCGCCGGTTGGGGTTGCGGCGTTTAACCTCCCGGCCGCTGACGCCGTTTTTGTCGAGCGCTGCCGTGCCATTTTTGGGCGCGGAAATGTGTTTTCGTTTCCGGTGCCGGCGTCGGCGAATGTCGTGGTCCTCGCCAGGCAGGCGTCCAGCAGCGACGATGACGACGCCGTGCACGTGTCGCACCGCCACTTCTACCGGCGGGCTCAGGCGCTGCAGAAGTCGCACGCGCTGCCGTACGACCTGTCGGGCCACTACCCGTTCTGGTGGTGCCTCTGGTGACGAAGGAGCGCCGCTGTTGGTGGTGGTGGTGTTGTTGCTGCAGGGATTGCAGGGTTCAAGGTGTGTGTCGATGTTGGCGTCATGATGTAGGATGCGCTTGTTTCTTCGTATTTCTTTTTTTCGTGTTTTTCTTCTTCTGTTCTCTTGCCTACGCCTTTGCCAACTACGAAAAAAAAAATGCTCTCCTAGAGTAAGAGCTGCACATACCAACACTTTGCTTCATGCCCTCTGCGCTGCTGGCGGCACAAGGGTGTGCCCGCACGATCCTGTGGGAGAGTCTGCGCCTCTCCGCCTTCCGCGGCGCCGTTCCGCACGTCCTCCTAGTCGTTGACCGGTCGCCGTGCACGCTGCAGAAGGTTCTGCTAGAGGGGTATCTGCAGGAGCTGCACGACTTTAACTGCTCACAGCTAGCACGTCCAGTGGGCGAACTCCGCGTGAGCCTCGACGCGGCGGCGGCGACGCCGTGCTACGCAGCTGGGTTGGACAGCAACTGGAAGGTGACGTACGGCGTGCTGCCGTTCTGCGCGGAGACTTTCCTGGATAACGTGCGAACACTTCAGACATTTCTGCGGCAGTGCGGTGAGGCGACGGACACAGACGCCGCAGTGACAGATCGGCGCTGGTCGGAGGAGAAAATGAGGGTCGTATTTGACACGGTGGCGCCTCTCCTCGCGCCTGACGACAGTAACAGAAGCGAGAGAGGTGGCGAGGCGGATTCATGGAAGGAGACGCTTTTCCGTGCGTTGTGTGTGGGGCCGCCACGCGAGCTGCTGGGCTGTGTTCTGATTCAGCGTCATGCATTCCAGAATGAATTGGAGAAGTACCGCCTGCGGCTGGACCTCTTCAACATGGGTCTTCGCGTCGCGGAGCACAACCACCTCGAGTGCATGAGCCGCACCGCGGATGCACTCGCAAACGGCAATGGCAACGATGTGGCGAGCAGGAAGCGTTGTCTGGAAGATCCAGAGATGGTGCACTACATGCGCTCCTGTTCCCTACAACCACAGGTGGCGGAGTCGATTGGCCGCGCCATTGCTGACTCAATTGACGCGTGGAGTTGGGCGAGGCACAGCGATGTAGACGGCGACAGCAGTGATCCAGTGAGTGTGACCCAACCACTCTCATTCCACGAGGCAATGACAAACAAAGACCTGTGGACCGTGTACAACGCGGGTGTGCTGTCGTGGGAGTGGGAAGGCGGCGGTAATCATGTCAATAACACCACCAGCGGCAGCAACGATAATGACGGGAGCAAGGCCTCTGCGCCGTTGAAGATCAGTGGCCCAGGTGCGCCGCTGCGCATAATCGGGTCTGACGGACATGTGCTGAGTTACGATGGTGGAATGGAAGACTGTCTGCTTAACACCGGTTACTACGCTGCCGCACACACGCCGGAGCGTAACCATGTCTGGAGCCATCGCCAGCGCTTCCCTGCGCATTGCGGCCAAGATCATGACCATGACAACGACGGTGACAATGTGAGTGGGGGCAGGGGCAAGGAAGAGGACGATGCAGCGGGAGTTGGGGCTGCGTGTGATGCTGACAAGCGGGGTCGTATGAAGAAGAAGGAGTACTTGGAGATGCTGAAACGCACGGGGAAGAAGGGCACGGCGGGGCGCACATCGTCTCCAACCGGTGACGAGGACGCTGTGCGTAGCAGCAACAACTGCTGTGGTGGTGCGTGTGTCGGCAGCAGCATTGGTGGAACATTCCCAGTGGGCGAGGTGATCAGTGAGTCGTTTGACCTGAGCAAGCTGAATGGCACCTGCAGTGTATTTGCGTACCCGAGTTTATTCAAGGAGGTCGCGATGTCGCGGCCGCAGCCGGTGACGATGCGCATTGAGCGCGGTGTTGTGACGGAGCTGTCGGCCGACGCACCGGCAGAACTTGTGGAGCTCATTGGTCTCGTGCGGCAGACGGAGGGCGCGTGCTGCGTGCGGGAGCTCGGCATCGGCCTCAGCCCGTACGTCGGCCGCGACCGCGTCGTCAGCGATGTGACGGCGTTTGAGCGGCAGTTCGGCGTGCACATCTCGCTCGGGCAGCGGCACCCGCTATTCGTGAAGCAGGCGGCGAAGCGCAACGCGGACGGTGCGGTGGCGGTGCGCGTG